TCTGTCCATAAAGTTGACTCGGTTGCCGGCGCACACGCTGGCTGCGCCGCAGCGGCATTGTCGCGACTTCTTCCGCCGGCGGCTCAGGACAGGCCAGGATGCTCACCGGCTCCGTCCCAGTCGCCGTCGGTGCGTGCTCCGCGTTGTCCGGGTTGTCAGCGACTGCGCCAGAGGCCTCATGGTGTGATAGGCCCGCGGCCAGGTATAGGGGTCCGTCGCCCTCCTTGTCACTGGCGTCACATCGTGAGGCATCGCTGTACCGAGGCCGCAGGTCCCGCACGTGCCACGGTACGCCATCCACCTCGGCCACTTGCGATGACACGATCCGCGTGACGACGCCCTGACGAGATGTTGCCGTACATCACGTACCACGGCGGCGCATCCAGACGAGGTCACCAACTTGTAACGTGGAGTTGCCGGGCCGTTGCCGCGCCTCGTCTGGCGCCAGCGGGGGCCGCTGCAAGTCATCGGCCGTGTCACGCCGGCTGGGCTCCACGCGGTCTCGCATCTGGTACTGGTAGATGCCAGCGGCCGGTGCGTCCGCAGCGGAGTGGCCAGAACGCGGGGTGGTGCTGTACAGGTGCACGGCCTCTGCAATGGCGCAACGTCGTCGCGCAACCATCACTTTTATCGTGCGGTGACTGCGCTCCACGATGCTGTTGCCGCCTGGCTCATAGACGGCCCGGAAGAGAAGAGCTGTGCCCAACTTTGACGCCAAAGCAGCCATCTGACGGCCACGGAAGACCGTGTCGTCATCCACCAGAATTCCTGTCGGCGCGCCGCGCTCGAAGAAGATCGCCTCTAGATGTTGGACGACTTCCGTTGCATCGGCACGGCGCAGCTGCCACCACAGGCTGTACCGGGACGGGCCGCAGGCAATGAGGGACAGGTACGATCCACCTTAGTAGTAGGTCACGTCTGTCGCGAGACGTGTCCACGTGTCGGGGACGTGTAGCGAGCCATGCCGCCACCACGTTGGTACCGAGTCGATGGATCGGCACACATCGTACCGACCCACAACTGATCGCACAGGGGCTCGCGACGCCTTTCGCGTTACGTCGCGCCTCACGAAGTACGGTGTCAGGCGGATTCCTGGATGACCGGCACTCTCGTGTGCAGCCATGATCCGCGCCCCGGTGTCCATGTTACCGTCGCCCTTCGCCGCGCCAGCACCATCATGTACGGCGGCAGCTGTCGCCCTGGAGCCGATGCGCATACTCTTGCCACGTTCCACGGCACCTGCACCCCCGGCGCGTGCCAGGGTCCTAGCTGGCACATCGTCATCTACATGAGCCCCGCACAGCAGTTCCTTTGGGACACGGGTCAGAGTATCCGCTAGGTTTTCATCCGACCACACCAGCGCGACTGTCAGCATCAGGTTCAGCTCATCCATCAACTGTCGCATGACGTCAATGCGTCGTCGAATCAGCATTTTGCCATGCGTCTTGGTGCGGAAAGGCACGCGGCCACTCAGCGCGCCGTCAATCCAGCGATGGACCGTAGCGGAGTCAGTGCGGAGGTCGATGATCTTCATCCCCCAAGCGATGGCCAGGTTGATGCCGCGCACCGGCGCATCTAGCTCCGCCCTGTTGATGTGTGTTGACGTGGCCTCAGGGCGCCACCAGCAGGCATCCTCCACCGCACCGTCGTCCGGGCTCTCGGTAACCACACCTGCACCAATGGCGCTGGCGCCCGTCCAAACGATGACCTTTTCACCTGTCGGGCGCCACGGGCCGCGGGCAGGGTCGTTCGTCCTCAGTCGGTCTGCGGTCTGAGAGATCTGGGAGAGGAGTGCCACGTCCATGGTGGCGTCATCCCATCCGTGCGTGACGGCCTTCACCCTGCACTTCAGCCAAGCGACAGCAGGGCGAAGCCAGCCGCTGACGGTCAGATGAGCCACCAGCCGGCCGCACCATGCGAACACAGCGCGCCGCGTGACCTGCCCCCGTGGCGCAGTGACGTCACTGTCGCGCGACCAGTCCAGTTTCGCCTCCACCAGCTGAACGCGCAGGCCGAGCAGGCGCGCGCCGTCCGCTACGCGCTCCGGCGTTTTGCAGGCCAGGCCGAAGCGAGCGAAGTGACGGACCACGCGGTCTGCGCTCACGATGTCCTCGTTGACCAGCAGGTCGTCCACGTATGGGAGCACGGCGCGCTGCATGTCGGCGTCCTCCGACAGCACCGCGCGAACGACAGCCTTCATGATGAGCGGGGCGACGTTGAGCCCAAGCCCCAGTCGTGTCAGGCAGTACCGCTGTCCTCGCACCATGACCGTCTGGTAGGGCCACAGTCGGCGTTCCAGACGCGGCTGCAGGTACGCCTTGCGTAGGTCCACCACGGCGACACGCGTCCCATGTCGCCGCCTCTTTTGGAGCTGGTCGACGCAGACGCCCGAGTCCGCCGTGTGGGCCGTCACGAGGCTGTTAAGCTCGCGATAGTCCAGGACAGATCTCACCTTATCCTGATTTGCCTGCCGCACCGCCATCAGCGGCACCAGACCGCGCGGCGGTCCATCCACCTGTTTGTCGTACGGCGTCAGCCAGCCATTGCTGATCCATGCGTCGATCTCCGCGTCGTACGCCTGCCGCGCGTCCGCGGGCACAGGATTCTCGGTCACCACGTTGCGTAGACATTCTGGACCTGTGCCGTCCGTCCACTTCCAGGTGACCGTCCACGCCTCCTGCTCGCCGCTAATCCTCGCCGTAAAGTCGGCTGCATCCACCTCCAGGCCTCGCTGGGTCACAGCTGCCGCCGCACAGAACCGCACGTCTGTCGGCGTCCGCACACTGATACCTCCCAGGGCAGTGATGCCACTCATGCCGAGCACGACGTCAACACCTAGCGGTCGGTCCGGCACTACCAGGATCTCGAGCGTCACTCGACGGTCCTTGGTATTAACCCCACGCTTCCGGTCCGGCAGCATCTGAGTTCCTGGCCGTTAATCGTGGGCATTTTCACCGTCCGCGTTGTCCATTGTTCGCAGCGGCCAGTGCACACGAGCGTGTCTGCGCAGCCCGTGTCCACCAGCTGACCATCCGCCCGTTTACCTCCTGTCGGGTGATGGGCAGCGCACCCCTCACTGGCGGGGAGACGGCGCTCGCGCTGACGCGGCGTCCCTCGACTCGTTTCCCGTCCGACGTTGTGGACAGGCAACGGCGATGTGGCTCGACTCACCGCACGTCCAGCAACGTCGCAGTGGGCGTCTCGCCAAGCGCGTCGTTGGGGCTCGTGGAGGCGCCTCTGCACGCGCCACGGCCGCTGCCACAGTGACGCATTCATCTCTCGGCACGGCTCGTGCCCGTGCGAGAAAGCTCGCTAGGTCCAGCGCCTCCGCGCGGGTGCCGGCCTGGACCGCCTCGCGGCCTACGATGCCTATAGGACCAGCCGTCTGCAGCCTAGTGAGTCTGCGGACGCGTATCTTGCAGACCTGCGCCGGCTCACAGCTATTTCGGCCGGACCACCCCACACACAACGGCGAACTGCCGCACGCAACGCCGACAGGGAGACTCACCCTACGCGCCCCGAGCAGCACCTCTTATTCTCCTCCCAAGCCACCCGCAACACGATCGGCGTGCGACTCGCCGGCGCCACCGCGTCCCACCATCGTCGGCGTGTCCACGGGCTAACGCACCACCCCTGAGCAGTGACCGTTTCTCTCACTTGGACATGAAACACCGCCTCACTCGGCTTACATGTTGTCATTGCCCTGGGGCATGATCTATTGCTACAGATTGTTCTGCCGACATTAATTCATGTACATTGCACCAGCAGGTACTGGCTAAACAGTTGTTGAGAGTTGTAAAAGAAGCGAAGCGTGCATCCTCCTGGACTCGTCCAAATACCGACTGGCGCCTGCGAGCGTCGGGCCCCTGCCGCCGCCTCAGCGGCCGACCCTTGACCCCCGGCGAATCGGGAGACCTGCGGTCACGTGACGCCTCCCGGCGCCCAGCCAGATGTAGAGTCCGGTAGACAGCGAGGCTGCCTCCGCGACAGGCCGCCGCCGCCGCCGGGTGCGCGTCTTCGCCCCTAAAAGCACATGGTGGGAACAGCAGCCGCCGTCCCATGGCTCCGTCGCCAGCGCGGCGGCTCCCACGAGCTCACAGGCGCCCCCTCCCAAAACACGACTAACTGGTAGCCGGGGCGCATAGCCCGCACAACCACACCACACAAGTAATCAGTGGTGAAAATTATCAACACATGTATTGTTGTTAAATATAACCAACACTTGCCTGATAACGTCGTTTCACCAGTACACCCTGGCATGCGGATCATGACACATTGAGCGTCGCTCGATGGAATATGATTTCCAAACACGTCAGGCCGACAAACCAGGGACTCAGTGCCTTCCTTGCCCGTATCTGATTGTTTTCTAGTAATCCGACCATTACCCCGATAGGGGCGACCGTATACCATCACAGGAGCAGGTCCGTTCAAGAGGCCGCGGCTGTAATGGCCTCGGCATCATTCGCGGAATTTCATTACGAATTTCGTCTAATTCCGGAGGCGATTAATCGCGGAAAGAGCTAACAGGTAGGGTTTTCCTTTCCGACTGTTTCTGAGAGCCTTCTGGGGCCGCTGTCCAGCTGCATGTGAGCCTCAGAAGCCAGCATGAAAACGTTGATTACATTTGGAAGAACTCTGTTCGGAAGCTCAAAGGCCTGTGGGACCAAACATGTTGAACCCGTGTGGCCCTGAGCCTGGACTGTTGGGTTAAGGCAGAAGTTGTGCCCAGTCAATTGGCGAATTCCACGCATTCCTCAGTTCGATGTGGGCACATCCCATTTGGAATGTCGATTACCTTTCACACGGACGAGATCGGTTACGTAGTGTTAAAATCCAGTCATCCCATAAATGCCGTTACGATCGCTGCGATCGCATTCAGGTCGCCTAAGCTTCGCCTTCGCCGCGCCATCTGCCTGCCCCGTAGCCCCGCCCCATAGCAACGCGGCGATCAGCTGCTGCGGATGGCCTGCGGCTAAGCGACGCGCATTTTGTCCTTGAAGGTAACACGTGGAGTGCGCGTCGCCGGTTCCCGTCGCCATGTATGTTGTGTAAATAGAAGCATTCTATCAGTTCTCAGTTCTTCTCAAAGGTGATTGGGGATGTCTGATCCCTAGAAGGCAGCTATGAAAGGTAAGCCAGCGGTAGAAGCGAGCAGGCGCGCAGCCAGAGGTTTGGTAACGGGAGACCAGTGTCTACATTCCCGCCGACAATGCGCAGGGAAGAGCGTCGGCTTAGCTCAGTAATGAGGACCGGCTAATCAGCCGACGAAACGTCGCTGCCAGGCTGGGTAAATCATCTCAATGACAAGCTTTGTGCTCCTCATGACGTTACTGGTAGAAATGTGGAAAATAGACTTATTTTACTTCTCGCAATATTACAATGATTCACAAGCCGTTTATGATGACAACATTGAAAACCAAGCAGGTATTCGTAATAACACGTGTCCTGCATCCCACTGATGACGTCACTGGTACGAATGAGTCGGTCATCAGTTGAAACTTTCAGTGGGACACGTTTTTCGGGCTGTGTTTTCCCGCTGCTCACGACGTTCCGGGAGACTGTTACGGCGCACGTGCATCTGCCTACGTACTCGTGGTTTACATTCTTATGTCATTTGAAAAACAAATGAACTAAAAAATGAGCTGCGTTTTACCTGCTGCTCATGACGTCGCGTGACACGAGTTACGGTCTTCGTTTCGCATCACTGGGGAACCTGATCGTGGCGGAAAACCACCTTTCGCAGCAGGCTTCCTCAAGAAACTACTGCAAGGAGGTCCAAGTGATCCATGAACAAACCGCATTCAGACATGTCCTCACTGAGTTGCCAGTGGGGCCGGAGAAAGGCGTGAACTGACTCAAGGTTTTCGGCTACCGACATTATCGGTCTTTAACAAACATTTCAAAATCGTGTCCATTGGTGCAACTACTGGCGGACACCATCACACTTATGACGACACCACATCACGCTAATGATCTTTGCAATGTTGTTGTCAAGTGACTGACCTCATCTCTGCTGCCATTGCATTGAAAGTCAAAGTGTGCTGAAAAGTAAAATACTTCATAATGGCAGTCCAACCATCAACATGAGCTATACATACAACATGAGCTATATACATACACATGAGCTACAAACACAATAAAAGCGTATTAACAGTACTCAGCGAACAATGCCATATACTTGGCGATTCGTCAGACGCCAGCCGTACACCCATTCTCGTCGTTCCGACGCGTTGTGGTGCATAGGCTATTAGACACATGATGGGCCATCTGAAATCGCAATTACCTACCACAAATCAAATCAAGGTTAAGAACTTTATTCAAGGTCGGTCAACAATACACGCTTGACCGCCTCAATACGTAACTAGTCATTTTTTCGCCATTTGCCATTTGCCTCCATGCGTGAGCTCCTGTATGCTAGTTTTTCCGTGTGGATCTGATTGCGTGCCATTTGGGTCTATGGCTGGAAATGACCTTAACATATTCCGCAGTGTTATTTCTACGTCTTATACAACTGGTGCCTCTTTGGCACGAGACACGCGTGCTCTGGCCTATTGTGTCTCTGCCCTCTCCCCACCCAGTCTCTAAGCGCGCGCCTCCTCAAAGTTAACGGAACGCACCATTCGCTCCCACTCGTGGCGCATCATGTTTAATGTCAACAGTACCACAATACTCTGGCATTTGACGCGGTGTTGCTCCATACGGTCCGCTGCTAGACGCCAAAGCCTACTCTTTCGCGCATCCTATTTCAAGAGAATTTGCAGCTAGCACCACAAAACTGCTCTCTGCTGCCCTTGCCCTGAGCACACCCCTACTACTAAGCACGCCGTAAAGCAGTGGAGCGAACTGCGCTTATGCAAAACTTGCTGTCTCATCCACATTATACATTGCTGTATCATTGTTATACATCCCTCGGTCTTATTGGATGCCGGGTTCACCGCTATCTGGCCCATGCTGTTACCACGATCGACGGCCTGAGCCGATCAGCTGATCGTTCGCGCCAACTCGCCTGTCGTCAAGCGCGTGCATTTTGGCGCCTGCATGAGCATGTTCTAATTGGCCGGACAGGAGAAGGTTATATATATATATATATATATATATATATATATATATATATATTTCATTTGCTTCGAAACAGGTTTAAACTGGTGTCCTCGAATGATTGTACCAGAGAAAACTATACTGACACGTTTGAAATGGACAGATAATGCTGACGATCGACTCGCAAATAGTTCGTCTTTGCTTTTCACCGGTCCTGATATTTCAGTGACGTTAGCTGTCCCTCAGTCATTTGACCTATTTGCAAAAGTTCTTAAGCGCAGCAAAGTTTGGTCATGCAGTGAAATTTGGATTGCATTGCGGACGTAAGATTTGGTAAGGTTACAAAAACATTTGGCTAGAAGCGATTTCTCGGCTTGTGCTAGCAGTGGACACATGGGCGGAGAAACGTGTCAGAAAGGTGAGGGTTGCCCAAACTTATTTTGTACTCGAACGATTCGTGCTTAACATTCTCGGAAGGGGGAAGGGGGACACAACACCCGTATAAACGCCGTTCCCTCCCCTTTGACACAAAACACATTTTTATTGAATCCCACTTCCCATGTCTGCTGTTTTCTGCGCTACATGCGCATATGCTACAATCATATTTGATAATCTTGGGGAAACACTCGCTTTATGGTACACACATATAACCGCTCTCAAGTGTTGTACTGCTGCAGGCGGTTAAGTATTGCGTCGATCTGAAATTGAAGTAATATGTATATATATATATATATATATATATATATATATATATATATATATATATACATATATTACCACATGCTTCAATGGCAGATTATAACTCATGCGCTATTCAGCATTCAGTGAGGAACCGCAAATATATACAAATATAAGAGGCAATTAATCCGCAGAGTTAAATGATGTTGATAAACCAATAGTTTTAGCCTCATTCCTGGCAGAAAAACCAGGCCAATGGAGATATAGTTCGGATGATATTTGGGCAACATGCCTTTATCGAAACAATACCAGAAGTTTGCTACTGCTCTTGTTTTTGAATTGCTATTGCTTTTGCTGTTTGAAGGTTGGTTCTGATATAGTTTTCATAAAGTTTGTTGTCGAAATATTAACCGAACTATATCTCCATTGTCCTGGTCTTTCTCCGAAAAATAAGGCTAATTCTGTCTTTTCTATATGAGTGATGTTCCTCGCTAATGCACTGCACAACTCTTATAATGGTGTATTTGGATCACCGTAATTCACAATCGTAATTCTAAATGGTGTTGAATGATGTTGAAATCATTTTAAAAACGCGTAGAGAACAAATGCAATATGCGTCGCTCGGCAGATCACTACCGCGGATTAACACTGGTTACTAGGCACAAACCCACAGCGTACGTTCAGGCCGACGCAATACCTACCCGCCTGTGAGCACGACACAAGGTTCGCATACAGCTACATGTGAATGTCATGAGACGTGTGTTTGTTTGAAAAATCGAGTGTGAAAGTCAGACACGGCGTGAGAGAGAAGCCATCACATTTGGGACGGATAAATCAATCACGTGCCTTTTGGGCTGCAAGCGTAAAAACGTGAGATCTCTACGTCTCATGGCACCCCCCCCCCCCTTCCAAGATTGTTGAGATATACCCTATGGCAACCAATGAAAGCAATGACTGCAAAATGAGTATGGGCGACGACTCTTTCTGAGACGTTCCTCTGCCTAGGTCTCGGCACGCAGCGCCAGTCCACATATTACCTTTCCAGCCAAGCACTTCCATTTATCCTCCGGCCGTCTCTTGTAAAATCTCGAATTTCACTGCATGACATCGCTGTTCTGCATTTATAAACTACTGCAAGGTGATCCAAATTATTCCTGGGCACAACGTTATTAAGGTAAGTTCAAGCAAGTTCAAGAGTAGCAAGTAGTAGTTCAAGTAGCAAGTTCAAGAACTTTCGTCCCGTCGCACCGAGGGATTCTCAGGGTTCGGGTCCCTGAGAAGGCAAACTGCTGTGTTCTAACACTGTATCTAGCGGTAGGTTTACATGTTTACAAGTTGTGTTGACTTGTGGTGGGTGTGTGGCGCTATTTGCAGTGCTGATCTCGCCTATGGCCTAAACAAGTGCGAAATGGAAACACGCTTGCTCGCACGACTTGGTCAGAAATGTTCGAGTTAAGCGTGCTGGGAACATCTCGGTGTAAGACTCGTAGAACGACTGCACGTTGGCCGATATGCAAACTTGGACCCGAATTGTGTGATATTAGTTTTACAGCAGCAACAAAGCGACATTGCCATTATTAAGTCATGATCTTGCTTGGAAGCTGGCGTATATTCAGGTGGTGACCTGACAGGGACGTAAGTTCTTCCTTTATCCGATAGGTGGTAGCACCGTGATAAGAGGCCGTCCAGTGCTGAGTTGAAATTCACTCGTGGTTTATGGTCTTGAGCAGCGGAAAAGCGATTGCGTTCATCAGGACATATCCACCGTTCCGTACAGGTCCGATTGGTTGTGATTGGACTTCAGATACCACAGCATTCACATTCGAAGAATACTTTGCTACAACAGAGTTATAGCTAACGGCTAACGTTGTAACATTGTTGATATGGTGGTCAAATTTGATGACATGCAAACAAGATTAGCGCAATATGTTTCTGTGGTCGCATCGACTGTCATTTTGATTGCAGGGATTGCTCTACGAATCGATTCGTGGAATATCCGCCTGGTTATGTTACCACACTATAGACAGTGATGCTGAGCCTAACATAATTAAGCAAGTTTTACGCTGGGACGAGACTGAGCAGCCATCTGTAATTTTTGGCCGGCGTAGCGTGACGGGGCACCCGTGCACATCTTTGGAAGAGTTTACTCCCTGTACGACAGCGCAGGAAAAGGGAAAGGATGAAAACAATCACTTGTTTCCCGAAGCCACCGCCCCACATTTTGCCCGTGTTCAACTCCACTGAACGTATAAAAATTGTACTCCCGTGGACAAAGGGGGCGAAACAAACTGCGGATGATGAGCCGATGTTTTTCCGCAGGTCTCGGCATGCTGATAGCGCCGCTGTTCATCGTTGTCCCGTTGGTGGCCACTCATCCGGCGACTCCCGGTAAGTGTGACAGCACTGTGTGACACCGGGCTACGGTAAGTGTGACAACACTGTGTGACACCGGGCTACGGTAAGTGTGACAACACTGTGTGACACCGGGCTACGGTAAGTGTGACAACACTGTGTGACACCGGGCTACGGTAAGTGTGACAACACTGTGACACCGGGCTACGGCTGACGCCTGGTGAAGGAAATCATGGCTTCTCGGCCCCGCTCGACCTGCCCGCTGAACACCGCCTTGTTTGTGAAGCCCGGGCGCCCCGCAAATTTGGCTGGATGTTCATTTTTGACGAGGGACGCTCCTAGAATGTCGCGACGGTCGACGGTCACAGTGTTGCGTAGGCATTCTCCGTCTTCGGCCCCTTCGGAGATGTCCCCCGACGGGCGTCAAGTGTCGCTCGCCGAATGCTCTGCTCGTGCTGAGCGGGGGGGGGGGGGGGATGAGGCCGACCTGCGTCACGTGCGCCGGGTCGTCGTGTAGGTCAGCGGGACCTTGCGGAGACTCGGACGAGTGTGGTCGCGGGTATGGAGAGCACCCGTAAATAACATGTTGACAAAGACATACATCATCTAGAACATCCGACTGCGTGCCGATAGCGACCATGTCGTCAAAAATGAACAAAGAAACCCATGGAAACGAGACGACGGCTTCCGCAGCTCCATCACTTTGGGGAGACGGTGTCTTCTCCCGGCAGAGAAGACAATGCGACCCTGTAGCCTTTTAAGGCGCCTTGTACCCGCCAGTGACGTGCTGGTTCCTCCTAATAGCCGGCCGCCTTGTTTCAGGTCCGAGAGAGAAGGTCGTGCATGTATCTGGTACCGCGAAGCTGAATTGTCCCCGCGGCTGGGAGGCGAGGAAGAGCATGCTGCTCGTGGAGCTCCGCTGGTACCGGAACGATCAGCTGTTCATGACGAAGCGAACCAGAAGTGACGTGGCCGACTTCACGACCCGTGACCCGAGGACCTCTCTCCAGAGAAACAGGTGAAAGGGTCAAACAGCGTCATACGCTGCTGTGGCTGGTCGTGCGAACGCGAGCCAAATTCACTGTAACTGACGATGGCGATAACCTGCGTTCGATATACTTCGCCATGCGTGTAGCAAACTGCAAGGTCGGCGAAACTGTGTCTAATTTCGCTTCAGCGAAATTAAAGGGAATGTCTCAAGTTTGAGGATATTGAAACAAACATCAGATGCGATGAAACAAGCTCACTTTTAGCTATTGGTGTACTTTTGAAGTGGAAAAGACTGCTCTAGACAGTACGATTCTCTGTTTACTAGACATGCTCCTCAATGCGTCATGGTTTAAATACGTCATTGTACCTTGCACAGCTTTGATTGAGAGTCAGTTGACGGCTGTTATATCTGCGAATTACGCTCACGAACGCCAGATATGAACACATCGACAATTATATAATTATTGGCCCTGATCGCCACATAGGTTATGGAATGGCGGTGTCTGAATAAAGTTATTATGACGTCACGAGTACCGAAGTGACTGAAATACTCTGCCCGATATACCTTTCCCCATTTTCGCAGGCATGTAGCTAAAAAACTAAAGGGGTTGGGTCTTAAAAGGACAGGACTGTGAATAGCACCGAAAGATCTTTAAGATAGCTATTTCACTTAATAGCCCCTTAGTGTGGAAGAGTCCCTCCAACGCCGGTCTTAACTCGTCAGTCTGGACACTATTTGCCAGTGCGCGTCAGCCCGGACACTATGTGCCAGTACGCGTCAGTCTGGACACTATGTGCCAGTACGCGTCAGCCTGGACACTATGTGCCAGTGCGCGTCAGCCTGGACACTATTTGCCAGTGCGCGTCAGCCTGGACACTATGTGCCAGTACGCGTCAGCCCGGACACTATGTGCCAGTACGCGTCCGCCAGGACACGACGTACCAGTGCGCGTCAGCCTGGACACTATGTGCCAGTGCGCGTCTGCCTGGACATGATGTGCCAGTGCGCGTCAGCCTGGACACTATGTGCCAGTGCGTGTCAGCCTGGACATGATGTGCCAGTGCGCGTCAGCCTGGACATGATGTGCCAATGCGTGTCAGCCTGGACACTATTTGCCAGTACGCGTCAGCCTGGACACTATGTGCCAATGCGCGTCAGCCTGGACACTATGTGCCAGTGCGCGTCAGCCTGGACACTATGTGCCAGTGCGTGTCAGCCTGGACACTATTTGCCCGTGCGCGTCAGCCTGGACACTATGTGCCAGTACGCGTCAGCCTGGACACTATGTGCTAGTGCGCGTCAGCCTGGACACTATGTGCCAGTGCGCGTCAGCCTGGACACGATGCGCGTGCGCACGAGGCAGTGTGCTGTGTCAGCTGTTGTGGGGGCCAGGTCTGCAGACGGCGTGTCGCACCTGTCGCTGGGCACGTTTTCAACGCATGGGTCTGCACGGGTCCTCTCGGTGGCAATGTGGCTCAATGTGGCTGAAATTGTGAAACGTGTGACCGTGTCTCGGCACCTGTTGGTCGGAACAAGAAATTCACACGTTAACAGTCGTTTTTTATAGATACCAAAACACGTAGGCTTGGTAGACAGTCGCATTTTGGATTACGTAGTGCCGGCTTGCGGCTGCGCGTGTAACGTTTCGCGTTTACAGGAGCGGTCGAGATGGCTTGCCTGGTTTTTACGATGTTTACGTTTACGCGGTGTCTCGACGGCCAGAGCAGATGGAGGCATGATGCGAATTTCAAACCGTCGACCAGGGATACACGCAGATAGCACACTCGGGGTTGGGGGCACGTGTCCTCCCCTCCCCGCCACACACCAGCTATATGGCACGTATTGTTATGTACGTGACCAGATGTTGGCAGTTTGACAAGTGGCAATTCCAGGGATAGACACATAAACATTAGAACGTTAGGGACTTGTGGTACCATTTTGCAACGCGCTTTTGCGGCTGTTATTTTACGATACACTTCAGTTGTGCTCCTCCCCCTCTACGTGAAATCCTGTGAGCGTAGATCATTGAACTAGTGTAGATCATTTTACCGTCCAGAATGAAATGGCCCAATCATCGCGTTGTTTTGTGCCTGGCAGTGACGGAACTTTCTTCAGCTGTCGTCCATGTAATAAATGTCATAGGAAAGCTGTATTGACGCGCTGATGCATTACTTCAACTCCTTGCACTGTGAGTGTAAAAGAAGCTGCACACATAAAGTGGGTAATAACTTACGAATAGTACGTGCTACTGAAGCTGGGGCCTAATGAGAGTGTTTTGCAGCTTCAATCGACGTCCGTGGCCACGAGAAGGCAGCACTGCGGAGTGCTCAATGAGACGTGCCTTAGAATGGCTGGGTCGCGCAGCAGCGTAGACGTTACAGCTGTATGAATCAGTGGCAACGGCAACCATAAGCCAGCCTGTCGCTGCCGCACGACGCCCGGGGCTCCGCTGGTGTTGGAGGCTGGGACGGTTTCTTGGAAGGTTTTGATCAAGCAAATCTTCGGCTACATTAAACTTGTGGAGAGAGCACATAAAAGCTGTACATCATTAATCTCACTTTAGGAAGCAAGCGCTGGTAATAGCCGCATGCTTTAGATGAATTGTTCTTGGTTCTTTGTCTCACAAGTGGTTTAAGCTTCGCATGCTCCGTCGACTGACAAAATGGACTAACACCCGTATTACCTGTATGACTTGGTATGCGAAAGAAATGCTTCAATATCCCAGTTTTTGGCATTGTATGATCGGGGTTCTTATGCTGAATTATCGACCGTCAGCATGCTAGGAGGTACGGATTAACCGAGGATGTAGTGCAGACATTGGCTATATGAACTACATCTGGACGCTGCGTTATAACAAAATAAATATAGGCTGTATTGCCAAAATAGCATATGTTTGTAGTACGTCGTTTAACAAGTGCTTTCTGGCATATCTGAAGATCGACTATTCAGCCTCAAAACTCTGAACACACAATTCACTGTGAGGGTTTGTCTCAGATTCTAATGAACACATTCCCCAGCAGTTTATGCTTGCTTTTAGAACAGTGTGGAATTTGTAAAACTTCAGACTTTTGGTATGATTCTCGTCCAGGATATGTTTATGAACGGGGACGGGGAGGCGCGAGAGGTCAAGACAACATTTTCGCAAAACTTTGCGTAGTTTACTCCATTTTGCTGCAGAGCAGAATTGGCTGACAGAATTGGCTGACAGGCAGAAGTTCATCCTCCACCTTGCATGTATCTCTCCAGTTCATCATTGCAACGTCCTGCGGGTTCGGCCTGGTTTCGCGTCGACCAAGGATCGCGAGTGTCTCGAAATTGCATACATAATTGCAGAGTATGACGTCTGCGTCTACAAACAGCGCAAAAGTAACTCGTACATGTAAATCAATAAGTTATTCCACGTATTTCTCAGCTTTCTAGCCGCTTTGGGAGGCACTCCTCACTTGCCGCTACTGTTTCCGCTGCCATTTGATCAGCAGTGGAAACACGCAATTTGTATGTCGCAAAGCAGCTGATGGCCGCGGGTCGGAAACATCGACGCCGGTGAGGGGCGCCGCTGTGACTGAGGACGTACTCATCGACTCCTGTACCGGACTGGTGATCCAGAACGTACTGACCGATCCTCTCACAGGGATGACGATCCGAGACGTACTGACCGGCTCCTCTCTCCAGGCTGGTGGTCGGGGACGCACTGACCGGCTCCTCCCTCCAGGCTGGTGACTGACCGGCTCCTCTCTCCAGGCTGATGGCTGGCCGGCTCATCTCTCCAGGCTGGTGATCCGGGACGTACTGACCGGCTCCTCTCCCCAGGCTGGTGATCCGAGACGTACTGACCGGCTCCTCTCTCCAGACTGGTGATCCGAGACGTACCGACCGGCTCCTCTCTCCAGGCTGGCGATCCGAGACGCACTGACCGGCTCCTCTCTCCCGGCTGGTGATCGGGGACGTACTGACCGGCTCCTCCCTCCAGGCTGGTTACTGACAGGCTCCTCTCTCCAGGCTGATGACTGGCCGACTCATCTCTCCAGGCTGGTAATCCGGGACGTACTGACCGGCTCCTCCCCCAGGCTGGCGATCCGGGACGTACTGGCCGGCTCATCTCTCCAGGCTGGTGATCCGGGACGTACTGACCAGCTTCTCTGTCCAGGGTGGTGATCCGAGACATACTGACCGGCTCCTCTCTCCAGGCTGGCGATCGGAGACGTACTGACCCGCTCCTCTCCCCCGGCTGGTGATCCGAGATGTACTGACCGGCTCCTCTCTCCAGCCTGATGATCCGGGACGTACTGACCGGCTCCTCTCCCCAGGCTGGCGATCCGGAACTCACGTTCGTCGGACGCCGGCAACTACGGCTGCCACGTGATCTGGTCGTTGCCGGAGCGGTGGCAGAACTACAGCCTCCAGATCACCAGAGCCGACTATGACGACGGCTACAGAGACGACTATGGCGACGAGCCGGCCGAGCGGGACAGCGGCAGCGTGGAGGAGGTCACGGACCTCTGCGCTGCCGTCGAGCCCGGTGCCACGCCTGGGACAAACGGCTCATTGGTGCCACGCGCGCCCCATTTCGACGAGACAGCCCGGCTGCGCCGGCTGGAGGTGGTGCTCGCCGGCAGCCCGGTCACCTTCCGCTGTCCGGCCAGAGGTCAGGCCCGGCTCGGCGCGCTGGGGAGGCGCGCGGGCGTGCTGCAGTGTCGGGGCGGAGGAGGCCGGGGGAGCGGTACCTGCCGAGAACGTAGGGGCCATGCGAAGCTGTCAGTGGTTCAGCATGGCTTGTAGCCTGTTTGTGCTGAAAAAGCTTCGGGCATGAGCGTGTCCGGTCCGCGGCATTAGTCGCTCGAGCTCATCTCACCTTACCTTACGTTAGATGGAGTTCCTCACCTTCACCTTACCTTGCACCCCGCCACCTCCCGCAGGTTGCCCGCCGCCACGCGTCCACTGGCTGTACCAGGGCCGGCCGGTGCTGGAGGCGCCGCACGTAGCCGACGTCGCCACGTTCGGTGGCGGCTGGCTCCGCCTGGCCATGGCCGGCCATTTCCAGGAGGGCAGCTACACCTGCGTGGCCGAGAACGCACTGGGGAGCGTGCGCCACACCTGGGAGCTCGTGACTACCAGTCAGTGGTGGCGGCCGAGCTGGTGCGGCCCCTAGCCGGGCCAGCTCGGCCGCGGGCGTGTTCAGAGCTTGACGTGACTGGCACCATCTGTGGATGTGCTGCACGTGGGTGTGCTGTTGTTGGTGAGGTGGAACAACGAGCAGCCGGAGAGGGTTTTCCAGGTGACGGTCTGGCCTCTTCGACTCCGATTCTGTTTGAGGTCTGACCCTGATATGTGACCGTGATGCCGTTTAGACGCTGCACTGCCGCTCGTGTTTAGTTTCGGCCCAACCCGCGCCGGTTTGTTCCAGCGGACGGTCTGTACAAGGACCCGGTGATCGAGCCGGGGTACCCGCGTAACGTGACGTCGCTGGCCGGCTCCAACGTGACGTTCGAGTGCCCCAGCTCCAGGGACTTCGACATGGACCTCTTCTGGGTGTTCACGCGCTCGGGCCCCTTTGAGGTGCACAATATGTCCGACATGAGCTACGCCATCCAGTTCGCCATCAGCGTTCACAAGGTACGGCTTGGCCGAGGCATGGACGGGCGCAGCGGCGGACGGGTCCGTATCAGGCGTACAGAATGAATGGAAAGAGCTGGAACGGTGGGGTGAAGCCCCGACGTACCGCCCCGCTGTGCACGGCTGGCCACGAGCGGCCACTGGGCCCCATCACCAGATCTGCGGGGCTCCGCGGAGCCTCGGCCGCCGCCAGCCTCGCGCCCAGCCCGGGGCGGCCGGGAGTGGCGTGGCAGTGACCGGCGCGCCGCGCCGCCCGTGCCGCAGCAACGCTACGACATCAGCGACCGGCAGCGGCTAGTGGTGCGGGGCGTCAGCGGCGACGACAGCGGCTTCTACACCTGCCTCTTGTATGGCTTCGACATGGCGAACGCCCACCTGCGCGTGGTGGAAGGTGAGGAATGAGACGGGCTGGCCGCGTGACATGCGGAAGGCTGGCCGGGGCTCGAGTGTCGGTCAGAGCAGCGGCAGGGCTCTCGAGGAGGTAGGCTCGGGTGATATGAGGTCGGTGGGTCTGCGCTCCGCAGGTTTGCAAGTTCTGTGAAGATGTTGGCGCTTGTTGCAGTATAAGGCGGTGCTTGTTTGATGTGCGTTTGCTTGTGAGACCGTAACTGATTGCATGTTCGGCGGCTGTTGTATCGTCTGAAGGCATCCGGGACCGTGCAGCCTGAACGAGGATCGTGGTGCCACGCTTCGGCTAAATGAAGGTGCCGACCACAAGCGCCAAGAGGACAAACAGCTTTGGTTGAGGACGTTTACCGTTGTCGCGTGGTAACGTAAATCATGCTTGTTTGGTTTGGAGCAGCTCTGAGATGTCGAATGGCAGGCAATGCCTGTCGCGACCATTTTTTTCAGGCACTCTCAAATCACTCCGGCGTATCAGCAGTCCACTGTTAGAACACCATGCTGGCTATCGAGGTACCGGCGAGAGTCGAGACTTGGTGTTCCAAGGTGTCATCGGTGAGTTAAAAACTTACCGGCCTATGTCAAAGACGAGGTGCCAGGTCACGTGTTGGTACCGATGTCCTACCACGGGCGTTTCGGCGTCACCGGTCTGAGAGAGGGCGCTACGCGCGCGTATTTCCCAGAGGTGCCGCGGGCAACGCTGCCCATGCGGCCTGCCAACGCCAGCGCGCTGCTTGGCTCGCGCGTGACGCTGGAGTGTCCAGCTGCGGCCGCCGCCACCAGCGGCGAAGTCATCTGGCTGCGCTCCGAGACTGGCGCGGTCCAGCTGACGACGCCGCGGCAGCTGGAGCAGGCCAGGCAGCACGCGCTGCCCCGCTCAGAGGTGAGACTGGACGGGTCCAGCTGACGACGCCGCGGCAGTTGGGGCAGGCCAGGCAGCGCGCGCTGTCCAGCTCAGAAGTGAACATTTAGCTCTGCTCATCGCGGTCTGGGTTAGGCTGGGATGTGTGCTCCATGTCTGGACTGGTGGTGATTTGTAGCCTCTCGTGCCAGCTGGTGTCTCCCGCATCGTGCTTCAGTCTCACTGACATCGGGGTCATCGTGTCGGGTTGGGTAAACCGCGAGCTTTTTTGCTCGCTGATCACGATTGCGTTTGTGGCGAGAAACGGAAATTGGGTGTCAAAGTCCAATGAACTACATTAACACTTACTGTTGGTGTCATAGCTCTTACACCCTCGTTCATGGTTTTGGACACTGCCATGCTTGTTGCCGCAGGTTGACGGCAGTCGCTTCAACACGTCCTCGCCGCCCCGTCTGATCATCACGAACGTGACGGCCAACGACTCGGGGTACTACGTCTGCGTCGTCCACACTGCCTGGGACGTCTCATACGCCTCGGCCTATGTCGCAGTGGTGGAAGGTAAGACATGCTCGTGTCGTCCACGGTGTCCGGTACGCCTCAGCCTACGTCGCAGCGGTGGAACGTAAGACATGCTCGTGTCGTCCACGGTGTCCGGTGCGCCTCAGCCTACGTCGCAGTGGTGGTGTCGCGCACGTCACTGTCTTCGGCGAGGAAAGAGAAAATGTGGCAGTAGTTGCCCTTTGTTTTCTTCAATTAACAACCCGAGCCCCCGTGCGGTGCGACCCAAGCGTTATCACCCGCACCCCGGGACTCGGGCTGTCAACCGGCTGGTTGCGGCCGAGTGGCCGGGGCTAGCAGTGTTGCGTCGGCCGTGCCGGTCCGGTTTGAAACTTCGGTGCCGGCATCGAGGCGATGTCGGCCCGGACTGACAGACAGGGAAACACGTCCAGAGAGCGACGGATCACGAAGATCAATAAACGCTGCGCTGTCAGTTTGCATACAATATATTGTCGAGAGTTCAATTAAGTTTATTTGGTTTTAGGCGTTTCGGCCCGTTCAGACCATTCCACGCCTTAGAAGGGTCTATTTCAACTCAAACGTATATCTGTGTTTTGAAGAAAGAGAAACTGTACATCTTATCCTTTCAAAATAATTGAAGCATTTCGGTACTTCTAAGAAAATTGAATAACAAGTCAAGAAGATGTGGATGGCATTACCAAGGAGGACTTCTAACGATAATGCAACGTTGTGGTGCTGACGGTATGTTTCCAGCCTCTTCCTCTGGTGTTGAAATTTGTTATATTCAACCAAAATATGCTTAACCGAAAGGGGACGATTACACTGATGGCATAGGGGGCGCCGTTGTTTTAAATATAAATAACTATGTGTAAGCTTTGTGTGTCCGATTCGAAGACGTGTTAATACTTTTTTCCAAACGGTCTGGACGGCTTAACGACGGCCAAGGTGCACTTTGCGGTTTTATGTCGTGAAGCTGTGTCCTGGTGGTTTCCGTCCATTGTCCAAACTTGCTTCGCTAAATTGTGAATGACCGTTCTTATTGAAGTATGGTCAACAGGAACTTGTGTTATGTCAGAGGACGCCAATGCTTCCTTAGCCAGTTGGTCGGCCCTCTCACTTCCTGTGATACCCCGATGGCCTGGCACCCACAAAAAATGTAATGCATATGTCTTGTGTGCATAAATAATGATAAATGTATATCATACGAACAACGAGGTGGTGGGTGAGGTGAGGGTTAATAAGTGACAATGGCCGCCTTAGAATCCGAGCAAATTATTATGGGTTTGGTTCTATTATTTTGTCGTTCGGTATGCTACAAAGAAAGAAATAAAGCAAACAGTTCTGCAGGGTATACGGATTTTCCATCGGGTAACCTACATTCTTGTGAGTAGTGGCCGTTACAGACCATCACGCATCCGGCGTGATTTTCAGTCATGGAGCCATCGGTGTATATAAAGCGACAGTGTGGGTACTTTTTGATCATACGATTGAATTTTTGTTGTACATAAGCTGTTGTGGCGGTGCGTTTAGGATCAGTAAAATGAAGCACACCTTGGCGAGGTGCCAGTTGCCAAGTGGCTACCACTTAGTCATGTGGCACGGAGGCTCGCGGAAGGACGTAATTTAAACTATGGCAATAAAACAGTGATACGTGAGGCAATTTTAAGGCCCGAGCGACGCTCTGCTGGTCTTAAGTATGTATGGTGGATTCGTGGCAATATATGTGTGTAGGCAAATTTTGGGTGACTTGGATTTTGTCTTATCTTTGCGACACACCTTATAGTGTGATCAATACGTCGGAGGGCTAAAATTGTAATGAAGGCATCTACTTCAAGCGCCGAGATTGGGGATGTGCACGGTGCTCCCTGTGCAAGCCGCAATAAATATTTTGTACAACAGTAGGGACTTTAGGCTGCGTTCCGTGCCACCTGCATACACCACTGATTCATCTTTCTTATAGGAAGAACCGAATGTTTATATAATAACGATAACGTGTACCGGTCAGCACCGTACCTTGATCCCGAGATGCACCCAAACAAATTCGGTCGTGTGACGCATTTGGTGCGGACATGCCGGACGAGCTTGGACATGGACAACCTCGGGTCGGGGACGAGGCATAGGAATTTGAACGATGAAACAAAAGGAATATTGTACCCGCCCAGTTGGACAGAATATGTCTGCGTATCTCGTCGCCTTCTACTGAAAATCACAATGGCTGATTTTTTAACGGAAAAATAGAGACCAAAACGTATTGACCATTGTTGTTACTTGTGAAGGGCGTTTTGAAGGCATGGCAATGAGTGATCATATTCGTCATCAGAGCACCGAATCGCGCTGTCATCCGCAAAAAGTGACTAGGATATGCCTGACATGAGATCATCAAATAAATCATGATGATGATTGGGGTTTTAGGGCGCGTCGACTTCTAGAGTCATTTTGCGCCCATTAAATAAATCATCTATCATTGAGTTAAAGAGCATTGGATACAGCCACCTTGTGGAACACAGTTCTCTTGAATGTGAACATAGGAGACCGCCGATCGGCATCTTACACGGAACGGCCGCGTTCGTGAAAGAAATCCCACAAGATAGTGTGCCAAGTGTCCTTTAAACCCTATTTTTTTTTTAGTTTAAAAATCAAAAGTGGTTTATACACCATATCATAAGCGCGAGTGATATCCAGAAACACAGCAGTGACTTGATATTTTTTACGAAATGCGCAACGAATATCTTTCCAGACGAATGATATGATCACAGGTGGTACGGTTACGTCGAAGTCCACATTACTGACCCGATATGAGTTCTTTACATTCTATTATCCGGGCAAGACGTTTGCCAATCATGCATTCCATAAGTTTTCCCAAGCAGCTGGTGAGCGCAATTGGACGGTAATTGACTGGGTCGTGTGAGTGGACTCAACGGCATTTTTCGTCTGGGTCTGTGTAGTTGACTCAGCTGAAACCGAGGGGCGAGGGTTGAGAAGTTTCAGGGGAGGCAGATGGGCAATAGCGTCGGTCTGTGTTGCACATGTGGCCATCGTGGCTTTTGCTGCTTGTGCATATGTTTTGCTGGGCTGCGATGACATTTTGGATTCAACGGTGCGCCGTGCTTTTTCTTTTTTCCACGTGGGACACTGAAAAGAGTTGGCGGCGTGATCAGCACTTCCACAGCTCAGGCATTTCTGGGGTGATAGGGGGTGATGCAGGCAGATCCCTCGTGAGGAGTCTCGCCGCACTTCAAGCATCTGGCACTACTGGCAGTCTGCATCTGGCATCTGCATACTGCATACTGGCATCTGGCAGTCTGTTTGCACTACTTGCTGCCGTGTCCGAACCGTTGACATTTAAAACACCTGAGTGGATTTGGAATGAATACTCTTACTTTACAACGAAGGTAACCAGCGGTGAGCGAATCTGGAAGTCGGGTGGTAGCAAAGGTGATAACGAGCAGGCTGGTGTCACGACGCTGACCATCTCTGAAAGTCGTCAGCCGACGGATATGGCAAACTTGCTCATCTCTGAGCTGCGCCAGGATCTCGTCCTCCGTCATGAAGCGGAGTTTAGGCGCGAAGATGGTGCTCTTACTGGTGTTTCTGGCATGGTGCAGGGGGACTTTTACTTGTTTGCCGCAAAATTCAGCTGTCTTGAGTAGGGCCTTGGTTTGTGCGCGAGTGGTTGTTTTAATGATGAGTGATCCGTTTGCTGGTGCTTCGATTTTGAGTTCGCATGGACCGCAGATAGCCCTGATTTGCTTTGATGGCCAAAAAACGTTGATCTTTCGAAACGACACATTTTCAACACAAGGTTGGGCGACAACGTACGATCCGAAAAGACCCGGAATTGGCTCAGAGGGCTGGCGAACACTAGTCATTATCGAGAGAGGGTCAGCATCAGGGCGAGCAGGCACCGGAGTGTTCAAAGACGAGCGAGGGTCGGAACCGGGGGCGTTGGACGGAGACGGAGTCTGCTGTCCACCCACCGCGGTGGAAGTGTGCGTACTAACGGTCATGGCCTGGGGCGCGCGAGGGCCATCAGGTGAAGTGGCAGCCAAAGCGGAGCTGGCCGCACTTCCGTCATCTACATCCAGGGCATTATCAAGGTCAGGGGCCGAGTTCGCGTCCGTGTCAGTATCATCCTTCTTGCGCTTGCTTCGCTTCCCAATATTAGGGGAGCGAGAAGGGAACAACAAAAATTAAGCGAAAATGTGTGTTTGGAGCTAGTGCGAACGGAAAAGCGACGAGAACTACGATGCGAAAAAGGACTCCTTGGCTGAGAGCCGCAAAAAAAGAGCAAACCACTTGCTGAGGTCGTGCCAGACAGGTGTGTGGTCACCGAATGGGTCAACAAAAGCCGATGTGATGTATTATCGATAATTTTTTTGTTTTTTTGGATTAAAGCCCTTTCGACCAGACATGATAATTTTAGGGCTATGGGATGAAGGAAAGCGGTTAACGATGGGACAGACGTGCATGCGCCTGGGGGGCCAACCGCCGAGCTTTAACCCGCGCATGCGCGGGTACCCGGCCGGGGTCCCTCTTCCCACGGGGCCCTGGGCCCACTCGTGGCTGACGCATGCAGCCTGCCCCGGACAAGCGAGGTGCCGCGAGGATGTAGGATGAAGCCAGAAAGAGGATAAGAGGCACGGATGTATTATCGATATGGCTCGGTTCGACTTCATCACTTGACAGCAGCACACAGCTGCCTAGTTATTGTAGTCAATATGCCGTGAGCGGCCAAACAACAGCTATACTAGCAACCGTTCTGTGGTGGATATATCACTCATATAATTATCCAGCATTCACAGTACAGGGAAGCTACGGAGACACACACAGTTCTCACACGGCGCATGTCACACACCAAACAATAGCACTCCTTAGCGCCACCTATTGGTGACCTACACGACGACGTGTTGACCCCGTGCCGCTACAGTGGGAGGTAGCGCATATTCGTGTCGTCCACGGTGGCCGGTACGCCTCGGTCTAGGTCACAATGGTGGAAGGTAAGACATGCTCGTGTCGTCCGGGGTGCCCGGTACGCCTCGCACGCTTCGGCGTGCGCCACAGCAGCCAAGGATGTGTCTGTGGCCAAGCCGCCGTTTTTTTCTTGCGCCGCAGCACTCGCGAATGTGCTGCGATAACTCGGTAAACAGTTCGAGTCTGGGATGACGCGGGGAGAGCGTCCAGTGGCGCCTCCGGTTTGGTGACGTGTCCCAGCCCGGCGCCCCCGCCGTCCGCACCATGCCGTACGTCCGTCCGCTCGGTGGCGCTGCAGGTCCGGGCGGACCGCCGGCGTCGGCTCGCTGGCCGTTGGGGCTGATGTCGACGGCGATCGCCGCGGTCGTCGCCTGTGCGCTGCTCTCCGCGGCGCTCTGGTACGGCCGCCGCCGGTACAAGCGGCGCATCCGCACCCTGACCAGGCGTGTGGTGATCGAGGCGTCGCCGGAGGAGTTCGCCGTGCCCGTGGTGCGCATCGAGCCGTGCAGGTATGTGGCGCGCGCTCAGGGATGATGACCGTGTCGGCGGCGCGGAGTCCCGGGAGAGACGCTCCGCCAGCGTTCAGGGGATGGTCCGTCACCGTTCGCGTCGTGCCGGGGTGTGCTGTGTGGTGACCGAGTGGCTACTCTGGGATGGTGCCACGTTTGTTGTCGGACGCGTTGTGCCATCCGACCGTGATGGCTGATGTCGATTGCAATGCTCCGGTTTGTGTTCAGCCTCCGATGTCCGTGTCCCGCAACGTGAGCGCTTACGTGGCCGAGTAGCCGGATACACCCTGTCGCGGTCCAGCACCGCGTGTCCCAGCTGTGGAGCGTGGCCGGGGAGAACGCGTGCTGCGTGTCGCGCGTGGCCGAGCCGACGGCGTCGTCTCCCCGTCAGAGCGTCGGAGGGTGGCGCGGCGTCGCCCGCCTACCTGCTGCCGTCAGACCCGGCCTGGGAGGTGGCGCACGATCGGCTCCAGCTGGCCGACTGTCTGGGCGAGGGCTGCTTCGGCCGCGTGGTACGCGCCCGCCTGCGGCCGGCCGGCCGGCAAACGCACCCCGTCCGCGTCGTCGCCGTCAAGATGCTGAAAGGTCAGTGGGCCAGAACTTGTGCGGCTGTTGGGGTAGTGACGCTTTCGGCTGTTTAACGGTGTTTGTGAAACCGGCCGTCGTCGCCTTTTGTCATGTCGATTGTAGCAGAGATCGAAACGTGGCTGATGACGAGTTTCGAACGCGCTGCTTCTGGGAGCCAGGGCGAGCGCCGTCCTGGGTTTCAACGTTCCCCGGATGAGCTATAGTTCACGGGCCAGCCCGGCACCGGCGCCATGCCGAGACGACGAGCGCAGCCGGCGCTGGCGTGTAGCTAGCCGCTGCGTTGTTAGCCTGAGTCGCCGCGGTCATGCGGTCTCTGGGGGCTGTCCGCCGGCCGGCCCGGGCGGTGCGGTTTGTGATAGTGCGCCGGCACGCTGCGGGAGTGAGTGACAACTGGGAGGTGTCGCGGTGTGGTGTCATCCGGTGCCTGGTGCGGCGCGTCAGCCGCTAAACCGCCATCGATAGGAACAACTGACCGTCTCGGTGGCCGCGACAGCTGACTGATCTGAGGCTGCGGGCAGCGGCGGCCGGTGAGGGCTGCTCGGTTGGGTGGAGGCTGTCGGCTACATCGGTGTTCTGACGACTGGCGGACCGGCGGTTCACAGAGCACCACTGCGACACGGACCTGATGGACCTGGTCTCCGAAATGGAGATGATGAAGAAGGTCGGATCGCACGTGAACGTCGTCAGCCTGATCGGCGCTTGCACGCGCGGCAGCTCTCTGATGGTCATCATGGAGTACGCCGAGCACGGTCAGCGCGGCGTCACCCTTCCGGACTCTGCCCTCTCCCCCGCTGGAGACGGTGACACGGTGTGCTTGGTCGGCGCAGCCAACAGGTCACAGTCGTTGCAGGAAGGGGGAGGTGGGGGGGGGGGGGGGGGGTGTCAACAGTCCGTCGGGTGTGCCAGTTGTGAGCGGTATGTGAATGCGTTGATTGCAACACTGCACACGTTGCAACACCTCGGGCTCCGGATGCGGGCTCCAAACCACGTTGTTCGGGACCGCAACAGCGTCTTAGAAAGTCCTAAGGCACAAGCAAAAGTTAACAACAACGCTGAATTGACTCATCTAGGCGACATTGGGGCTCACAAGCCTAGGGAGGCTGACCAGTATTCATGTGTACGACACGGTGCTGCAGCGATACATGCACCTGGCGTGTGCCGCAGTTGGAGCCGGTCCTGTCCGTGCACGCCCTCCCATCTCTCAGGAGGCAACAGGTGCCGCGCCCGTTGGCTGACCGCCCCTCCCCCAGGCAACCTCCTGACGTACCTGCGCGAGCGACGCGAGAGGGCAGAGTGCGAGCGGCCGTTCGACGCCGAACTGCCTTCTTTGTGCGACCTGGTCAACTTCGCCTTCCAGGTGGCCCGCGGGATGGAGTACCTGGCCAGCCGGAAGGTACGTACCGCGGTCGCCTTAGCGGCACCGGTCTGTCCGTTGTTGGACAGGTTTGGCTGGCTCGGTGTTGCATGGCTTAGATAGCTGCTTTGTCTCCGACTGCTGGATGTCAGTACGCACGTGCGCTGCTCCTCTGAGGCCGTCCTGTTCTGGTTATTTCTGTAGCGGAGCGTGTCTGATGCTTGAAGCACGTACGCACGTGCGCTGCTCCTCTGAGGCCGTCCTGTTATGGTTATTTCTGTAGCGGAGCGTGTCTGATGCTTGAAGCCCACGTTGTGCAGTCTCGCCCGTCGTCGCAGTTCCGGTTCGTCTGGTTCGTTTTTTCGTTACCGCTCTGGTTCGTTCGATCAGCTCGGGCGTTGCGGCTCCATTTGCGACACTTTACACACCTTACCCTACACCTTACCCCACACCTTACCCCCACAACTTACCCCACAACTTACCCTACACCCTACCCCACACCTTACCTCACACCTAACCCTACACCTTACCCAACACCTCACCCTACACCTTACCCCACACCTCAGCCCACACTTTACCCTATACCTTCCCCACATCTTGTCTCACACCTTACCCCGGGGCTTACCCCGTGCCTTAGCCCACACCTTACCCCACACCTTACCCTACACCTTACCCCACACCTAACCCCACACCTTAGTCTAGACCTTACCCCACACCTTACCCTACACCTTACCCCACACCTTACCCCACACCTTACCCCGGTCACTGACCAGTTGCTACTGGATATTCCTAGTGCAGAGACGATAAGCAACACTGTTGAGAAGATGCGGGGCTTTCCACAGCGCTGCAGCCCACAGCTGTCCTGTCAGACATGCCATCCCTCACTACACCGAGCGCTGCGAAGGCCCGCCGCCGCCCGACGACAGGTGGCACTAGCCACCGCACCGCGCCTTCCACCGCACCGCTTGCCACCTCACCGCGTCTTCCACCACACCGCTTGCCACCGCACCGCTTACCAACGCACTGCGTCTTCCACCGCACCGCTTGCCACCGCACCGTGTCTTCCACCGCACCGCTTGCCACCGCACCGCTTGCCACCGCACCGCGTCTTTCACCGCACCGCTTGCCACCGCACCGCTTGCCACCGCACCGTGTCTTCCACCACACCGCTTGCCACCGCACCGCGTCTTCCACCACAACGCTTGCCACCGCACCGCGTCTTCCACCGCACCGCTTTCCACCGCACCGCGTCTTCCACCACACCGCTTGCCAGCGCACCGCGTCTTCCACCTCACCGCTTGCCACCGCACCGTGTCTTCCACCGCACCGCTTGCCACCGCACCGCGTCTTCCACCGCACCACTTGCCACCGCGTGGTCGGGCGTCGCCGAGAGACGCTGCACTGAACGGTCACCTGCCGCCTCTCCGCCGCCAGTGTATCCACCGAGACCTGGCCGCCCGGAACGTGCTAGTCGGCGAGGACAAGACGCTGAAGATCGCTGACTTCGGCATGGCCAGGGACGTCAGGGAAAAGGACTACTACCGCAAGGTCACCGGTGGCCGGCTGCCGGTCAAGTGGATGGCGCCCGAGGCGCTGTCCGACCGACTGTACACCACTGGGTCTGATGTGTACGTACGCTGACGCTGTGGTCATGGGTCTGTGACGCCATCCGTGGCTCAAACGTACGCTTGTGTGTGCGGTGGGCAGGGGTGGACCTCCTTTTTGTGTGACGATGTGGGAAGGAATGTAGGTGAATGTACTGCAGAGGGCACATCTGACAGGAACCGTTTGGAGCACGGCGCTTCTGCGGGCTGGCTGCCTGGAAATGCGCCACTGGTTACGTCTCGTGGGGACTTGTGGAATCAAGAAGCGGACATTTTAAGGGTACCTCTGCCAGGCGTTACTGTTGACACCAGACTGCTCCCGGCCGGCAGCTGGTCGTTCGGCGTGCTGTTGTGGGAGATCATGACAATGGGCTGCGTGCCATACCCGACCGTCAGCAGCGTGGACGAGCTGGGCGACTGGCTGCGGCAGGGTCGGCGCATGGCCCGGCCGGCCGCCTGTCCCGCCAGCGTGTGAGTCCCACCGGAGTCTTTGCGGTGTCGCTGGCGCCGGTGCCGCCGCCGCCGGCTGGCCACACGCCTTCGGTCGGGGAGAAACGGCTCAACGGGTTCGGCACCTACAGCTGCACCGTATAATTATAGGTTTTGGCATTGTAGTTTTGTGTTTTGTAAATATCTTTGATTCCAGCTGCATTCTGCTGTGGCTAATAGCATCTTAAGCATTTCACGTTGTACTATCATTACGCTCGATGTTTTTTTCGTGGCTGCACATGCTCTATCAAGAGCAGTTACTCTCGCATTTTTTACATTATCGTACCGGTGCAGTAGTGCTGTCATATTCCCAGATGCGCGCGGCGCATGTGACGTAAGCAATACAATCTCTCATGCTTTTAAAGCTGGCCGGGTTATTGCTCGGCAGCTGGGAGAAACGCCATCAGATGTTTGTTGCCTGGGCTCCTGGAGGGCCACCACCCGATGTCTTGTGTAGTGACGCCTGATGCTATGTCTACGGGGCCTGGTAAGTGCCCATCGCCCAGCACTGGCCGAACACGGGACCAGGCCCCGACAATCGGGGCGTATACGTTAATGCATATCTCGCTGCGCCATCTTTTGTCACGCCCTGCCGGCCGGCCGCGTCAGCGGAACTGCCCGAGCGGCGGTCCCGGCGCGGTCCGCCGCGGAGGCTGCGCAGCCCGAGACACGAGGCCGGTCCGTGACACGGCCGCACCCCGCCGCAGGGACGACGTGATGCTGGACTGCTGGAGTCTGGAGCCGGCCGAGCGGCCCTCGTTCGGCCGGCTGGTGCAGCGGCTGGACGTGCAGCTGGCGGCGCTGACGCCCATGGTACGGCCGCAGCGCAGCATTCTCGGCACGGGGACACGGGAGCTCACAGTGTTGGAGCCTGGTGAGGCGGTGTTGCCAGGCGGCCAGGCGGCGCCGGCGGCGCGGGCGGCCGCAGCAGCGTCGCTGAAGGTCGTGATTCTGGCTGGGCTGCCGGCCATTGTCGGTGGGATGGAACGCCGCGGGGAGATTTGGGTTCGGAGACAGGCTCTTACGAGGCACAGAGACGTCGCGTGCATCGGGAGACCGAGACGTGGCCAATGTCGCCGACTGCTGGCTCGCAGCAGTGGGGTGGCTCGTGTTGCAGCAATACCCCCCGGCGCAGTGTCCGGGCTGACGGCGAGAGTGACCTGTCCGGCTTCATGGGCCGTCTGCCTGCCGCCCCCAGGAGTACGTGGCCATGGTCTCGCCCCAGCCGCACGTCGAGTACGCGAAGGTGGAGGTGCTGTCTGCGTCGCCCTCCGCGTCGGCCTTGCCCTCGCCGCCGGACAGCTCAGACTGAGGGCGTCGACCGGGGGATCAGCGAGTCTGCAGGGACCTGGACTCGTGCCCTATGACGTCAGCGGACTTCCGTGAAGTCCGTGTCAAAGAAGTGCTCAGATTTGTTTTTAACAGTGTTCCTCACCGGACTTCCAGTGTTTCTCGCCGGGCTTTTAGTTGATCCTGATCCGGGCTTTTAGTTGACAGTGCGGCGTCTCGCTAGGACAGTGCGACGCCTCGCTAGGACCGTGCGGCGTCCCGCTAGGACCGTGCGGTGCCTCGCTAGGACAGTGTGGCGCCTCGCTAGGACAGTGCGGCGCCTCGTTGGGAAGGACTGCGGTGTGGTATTTCTGCTTGGGTTGAACAGAATGCAGCGTGGGTTGGCCTAAGCCGCTCAACCCATGTTTAAGGCCGTGTTTTTTTTCTTTGTTTGTTTTTACAAGCGGTCTGCACTGGAGTTTGAGTTTCTTTTGGTATGGGTGTTGGAGATCTCCGGCGTGGTGCCTCGCGAGGGTCGTCTCCCGAGGCCTGGGGCGCAGTGTTTCTGCTTTGACTCAACGGATTAGCGGATAGTGCAGGTTGGCGGAATAGCTCGTCTTTCATGTGAGGTTGTGCTTGTATAGTCCACACCCCTTCGAAGTTTGTGAGCGCATTTTCATTGTACGGGTACATGTGATGTACCAAGCAAAACCTTTCGAAGCTTGTGAGCGCACTCCTATTGTACGGGTGCACGTGACATGCGGAGCCAGAGCATGGTTAAGGTAGCCCATTAAGAAGGCCTTTTTATTTGAAGTGTTTTCGTTACGATTGTTCTGCGCAGCGAAGTCAAGTTTGTCAAGCAACATGTTTATTTTACTACAAGGTTATAACCTAGATGGTATTTGGAACAGTTTCAGCGTTTTAGTGACATAGTTGCTTTGACGGGTTTCATCGCAGTAGAGACTCCTTACGTTACGATCATATCAAGGACTCAGGTATTTGTGGTGCAGCTGTGATGTTTCTGCTGTGATTTTTGCCGGCGCCTGAGTGTTTGGGCTACGGCGTACCTTGTGATTGAAGCAACTCCGTAATGCATGCATTCAGGCATTCACTGCATGCATGCATTCACTGCAACACTGCATGCATTCACCTTCGCGTCATTTGAATACACAGTGAGCCATTACATCGAGTAGCTTGAGTCATTTCCTTTCGCTGCGATGGAATGGAAAAAAGGAATGATGAGAAAATATGGGAGATGCGGTCGGCGTGTCTTGGCTCAGCGGACGCCGGTCCGGAGGCTGGATCGTGTGGTAAACCTCAGATGTGGAGAGCCCCAGTCCCGGAGATGCCAGGCCAGCGCGGAGTAACAGCGGAGTCTATTTTTGCATGTCACGCTTACTCCAGTGCGCGCTTGCCAAATGTGCTCGTTATTTGGGCGGTGACGGGTACAACAAACGTGCGTAAAAGCGGAAAATTAGAAGAAAAATCGTTTGCGACTGCGAATTACTCAGAATTGCGTAACTGCAGCGACTCGACGAATTGGACGCTTATCACGTCTTCGACCCTCGTAGGGGAGTTTTGATATTTGTTAATCGCATTTTTCAAAGGAGTGGATGTTTATAGCGCATATTTTAGTGTTTTATTTTCGAAAACCCAAAAATGCAAAAATCCGATGGAATAAGGCAAATAAGGAAATAATGAACAGGAGAAAAGCCAAGCAATAACATTTTTAATCAGTTAAGCGTTATAGGTGAAGAAAACTGAATGAATTTCAAGTCGTTGACAAGAAAAAAGAGTGAAGCAGGGGATATACATTGAAATAGGCTAAACGTGGAAGTCGGTTAAGAAACCTTTCATGATAAGGGTGAGGGCAAAAATGAAACTGAAAAAGCAGTCAAGGGAACACACATCCAGAAGATCCGAGCAAAGCGCAAAAAGTCAGCTGTGCGAAAAGTCACGATGCTTTAAAATGAAGCCTGTCCTGGACTTCGTGTGTCAGTCTTTGAGCCTAGCTAGAGCTGGGCTAAGTTCTTACCTGAGTTCAGGAGGCTCTTTTCTGCATGAAGGGGCCAATGTTACGGGCCAGAACGCCCTTTTATGAGCTAACTAGTTCCTGCTCTGGACAGGAGATCCCGGTTTGCGTTCGTGCTTGCCGGCTCAAGAGAGCTATTTATGAATCGGAGGACCCCTGTGCTCTGGGCAGGTGCACGTTGTTCTAACACTGCTCATGTGTAAGATGCGGTGGCTCTGATACGCCGGGTACACGTGTCGCTGTGCTGGCTTCATTGTGGAGAGTGAGACAAGCGCTGAGGAGCCAGTTGGAGCGGGACATTCCTATCCGGCGCACATGGTCCAGCAACTTCGCCTGCGTGACACTGGACGTGGGTAAACTGGTGACGAGACTGCGGACAAACGGTCCCCTGCGGCCAGCGCTCCTGCCTGGACGGACCAGACCATGCATTGTGCTTGGTCATCGTGCCATGACTTCGGCGCGCACTGCCATCTGCCGGCGCATGCCTCCCGGCGGCCGCAGGACTGCCTCAGCTGCGGGGCTTTCCCAGTGGACTGGCCGAGGCCGCAGGCGGCGCTGTTATCGCACAGTCAGATGTCCGGGACCCAGGGGGCAGTCCGGGACCCAGGGGGCAGTCCGGAACCCAAGGGCCAGTCCGGGACCCAGGGGGCTGTCCGGGACCCAGGGGGCAGTCCAGGACACAGGGGGCAGTCCAGGACATAGGGGAAGCAGTCCAGAACCCTGCGGGCAGTCCCAGACCCAGGGGGCGGCCCGGGACCCAGGGGCGAGGCTTTCCAGAACGGAAGAGCGGTCGCAGGTCTGCTATGGCGCCACGGCCAGCTTACCGACCCACAAACTGGTCTGCTTCTGTGACCGACAGACAAAAGGCATCACAAAGGATGGCGATGGGAAACTGCGCTTGATAATCTGAGCCAGTCTGGTGAGAGCAGCTATGAACTCAGTCCGGTGAGAGCACCCACGAGCTCAGTCCGGTGAGAGCAGCCATCAAATCACGTCTCATCTTTTCCATTTGAAAGCACAGATCTGTGTTATGTCCTATTCTATGAAAACGCACAAACTCGAGGACGCTCTAATGTGTGTGTGTGTGTGTGTGTGTGTGTGTGTGTGTGTGTGTGTGTGTGTGTGTGTGTGTGTGTGTGTGTGTGTGTGTGTGTGTGTGTGTGTGTGTGTGTGTGTGTGTGTTTGTGTGTGTATGTATATGCACCCCGGGGGCCGCCTTTGGCCCAGGTGGCTGTGTCGCGTGTGGAACAGCTGTGTGTGAACAGCAGGACAATCTGACAGGTAGGCTGCGTGTGATTATGAAGTCAACGGAGGCTCGCGGCCCTCTCGTCCAGCGGGGGCTCGCGCCCCCTCTCGCCCAATGAGCGCCCCGACTCACCCGGTAAGCGCCTTGACTCACCCAGTAGGCGCCTCGACTCACCCAGTGAGCGCCCCGACTCACCCAGTGAGCACCGGTTGAGGAAGAACTCGACGGTGCCGGAGCGGAGGTTGGCGTAGACGCCGATGATGGAGCCCTTGTCGAAGAGGCTGGTGTAGGGCTGCGAGCGGCCAGCATGGCGGATTGCACCTGGCGACGTACCCGGACATAATTCATTGACTGGTCGGTGCCGGGGATCGTAACAGTCGATGCCGATCGCACATCATGAACCCACACGGGCAACATCGTGACTGTACACGGCATAACGGAGCCAAATGACGCTACTTTAATCGTGGATTTACGGCGCACTCAGCTGCTGAGGCTATATATACCGCCTGCTTCTCACCCTGGCAGCTCGGCATCAGATGTATCCTTAAACCTCAGTCGCCAACAACACAACCCGAATGACTAAACAAACGTTATGGAGTGCGAACAAGCAGCAGGTATGGCATGAGCGACACACCACGCCTTCTTTATTCCCGACGCAATCACGTTAGAACAGTTTAGCGGGCTGCGGTTGAGACATGTGTCAGTGAGCAACGCGTAACCCGCACAGCCGTGCAGACAATGTACCGGACGCTGAGGCCTCACCGTGGAAGGAGAGGCCCCAGGAGTGTGAGTCGGCACCCAGGGGGCTCACCAATCGCTGGTTGGCCGAGTCCGGATCAAACTGGCCGTGACCAGACCCACCATCTGCGGGCGGCACACCGTCAGCTCCTGGTCGCAGTCTGACCGGCTGTCTGCGGCCTCTGGGGGTCAGCGCACGTGCAGGCTGCGGCAGCGGAGCGCGCACATACAGAGCTTGAGGATATAGTAGCAAGGCAGGTGCAGGGCTGGCAGAGTACAAGTACACGACATTTCGATGAGTATATCCAAAAATTAGGTAGGGAAGTTATTGAGCACTAGCACTTGGCACACAAGCCAGCGTCAGCAAAAAACTTTAGCGCTATGATAGCTCATGCAGCTGCAGTACCATGACTGTGCTTACATGAGCATGGCTCATAAAACCACTACACACACAAAATTCCAATCCAACAGCAGTAAACGACACAAACCACATCACGTGCACCAACAATGACATACCTCACAAAGCAGAACAACCCAGCAACCGACGGATAGAGCCGTCGACCGGCCGAGCCCCTGGCTGGGCAGCTGTGGCCGCGCGCACGTGCGACCCACCATGTCCGTGCTGTACAGGTTGGTCAGCAGCTTGACCTCGAAGAAGTGGTGTCCGCCGGGCTCGAGCGTGCTGTCAGGGTGTAGCCGGAGGCCTGTCCCACTGCCGCCCCGACGGCTCTGGGCACGAGGGAGAAGGGGTCAGGGTGCTGTCAGTCTGCGGGAATATGCATTAGTAACACACAGAATATTTTTGCAGACTCAAAGAGGGCGCAGTGAGGATCAAAGTTGAGCGGTGAGCATCAAAGTTGATGATATGCTGAAACACATCAAATGTCATCCACTAAACATAGGTCTGAAATTATGACGAAACACAAGCCCTCTCTGGAATATGGTCACATCACAGATCTACAGCAGCTTAGCGCGGTTTGCTGCAGTGAACACCCATGACCAGTGGGTAGTGCAAAGCAAGTGGTTA